TTTATTGATTACTAGTCAATGAACGTGAAAGTAAGTTTGTTTGTTACCTCTTAGTGTTTAAAACATAGGCTTCTTTTTATCCTGGTCAGTGGACATATACAGATCACGCGAACAAAGACGTAGGTAAAAGCTAGTTTTTTTTTTTTATAATTGAAGTCGATTGTAGAGCAAAATCTACTCATTCGTAGCCATTTGCCATTCGCGATGACCATTTAAAGAGACCATTTTTAGCAGCTATCTCAACAGCCAGAACATAACCGTTAAATTATAACTGGAGATTGTCCACCGCAGTTATAAACGCCAAATGTAATTTATTACGAGGGCTTTGATCAAAATTAACATACAATATACACTGCGTGGTATATATCAGTAGAGCTATTCGCCGCTATATGTAGTGGTGTTCAGGCCAGACAATGGACGGCGCGCGTAAATAAATCACGCGTAATGGCGCGACGTTTTTCCTTTATATTTTTAACACACGTTCACTTAATTTGTCAAAATAAATTCAGGACCTTTAAATTTTTAAGTTAATTAGCATATGCCTTAACTTTTTTTTTATAATTAATAACCTAATTGAAGAAGATAGGTCAAATCATAACACCTTAGTCCTCAGGAATAGCAACGTACAAGTGGCACAGTATACTCTGTTATATCCATGATAATGTTGGTCTATAGGCGACGATGACCACTTTCCATTAGGTGGGCCGTCAGCTTGTTTACCTTTGTAAGTTGTATAAAACAAAAGGTTTTATCTACATTTTACCCACAAGGAAAAAAGTCACAGGTACCCCCTTTGAAGTAGATAGGTCAAATCATAACACCTTAGTCCTCAGGAATAGCAACGTACAAGTGGCACAGTATACTCTGTCATATCCATGATAATGTGTATGTCTATAGGCGACGATGACCACTTTCCATTGGGTGGGCCGTCAGCTTGTTTACCTTTGTAAGTTGTATAAAACAAAAAGTTTTATCTACACTTTTTCCGTAAAGAAAAAAAGTCACAGGTACACCCTTTTTCATAAAAACATTAAACGTCTCATAAACCTATTTTAGTTATTGAGGTGTTTTGTCTTTTTTTTACCTGAATTCCCAATTTGAAAGAAAGTAATAAAACACTTTAATACTCGTAGATAAAAAGGGTTCGAAGGAAATTTTTGTTGTTATGAATAATCTATTGTTTATCTTATTCGTTTCAGGTAATGTCACATTATACAGCTAGTTCGCAATAAAACCTTTTGACAAAGATATTTCTTCTATAGTTAAAATAGGTTTGAAGGAAGTGTAATTATTATGAATAGGAGATTTATTCTTTATCTTAGACTACACAGATAAAGCCACAAATTGCTAGTTTTTTTTTTTTAATATTTTAAGGGCTTTTACCTTCTTCAGGTAAAATTGTACCCTGTCCTATTGTACCCTGAACTGATTTCTCCAACAAAACTTTATCTACCTTCCCTAGACGCGGAAAGAGAAGAATTAATGGGCATCAATAATTTACACAGATGTTCAAAAATTTCTGGTTTAAGTTCAGCTAACATAGTTTGAATAAGACCAACATTCAATTTATTTAAGTTAAAGTGGCGCATGAATTCTTCTCTTTCCTTCGTGTTAATACGACACTCTAATAGAATATGATGCACATCATCGATGGTATTACAAGTTTGACAATGGGGTGACAAGGACTTTCCCATCATATGTGCAAATTTTTTTGATGGATAAAGTTGGCAATAACATTTTCGACAGAGATATTTCTTTAACAGATAAAATAAGTTGTAAGAAAGTTTTTTTCTTTTATTTTTAAAGGTGGCTAATCTTTGTTCTAATCCACACAGGTAAAGCCATGGTAATATAATTTTTGACCGAGATGTATTTAATTTATCATAATTAATCACTGTAGAATAGGTTTCAGTATCTACTTAGTAAGATTAAAGACACCTACGTACTAGCATTTTTATGAGTCCATTTTATTATTATAATGTATATTATAATTATCCATAGACAAGCTACTAATATGTCTGTTCGTTAAATTCATAGTTTCCTATATTTTCTTCCAACAAATAGATTTTACAGAGCAAACTCTGTAAAAAAGTTAAACTACATAAAAAAACAAGCTGACCCGGCAAACGTTGTTCTGCCATATAATTTTTTTCGGGATGGAAACACCCTTATCATCTAGCGGTATGAAATATATAGGTCATAACCTATTCTCATACCTACCAAATATACAAAAAAAATCATAAAAATCGTTCAAGTCGTTTTGGAGTGGTTCGACCAACGAAGTATAACGAGTCGTTAAACTATTAAAACCTATCTTATTTAAATTACGTACATTTAAAATACCACACATTAGATTTTGCTTCACGGCAAACAAGATATTGCTCCGCTAAAAAAATACAATTAATAAGAGACTAATCTGTATCGACTGCAATAAGAATCATCGAAACCAGTTCAGAATTGGTTACGTAGTATATGTACAAAAATACAGACGAATTGACAATCTTCTTTTGGTAATCATTTAAAAATGTTTCCATTAGTTATACATAAACTTTATTAAACCCAATCCTTTTCTCCGTAACTGAAGCGACTATCGTATTGCCATATTGGCACGCTTCCATAGCAGTAAAGTTTAGAACATACCAATTTTTTGCCCACCACTTCGTACGTATGGATTTCTAATGTTTCGTACAAAAGACGAATGTTTCGACCAGGACCATATTAGACTGTTTAATAATTAAAGTCATTAATAGTTAATTAGTTAAAATTAATTTTTAAATTTATTCATTTATTCCCGTTTCTTATAAATCATAAAACATGCAGCGTGAAAGTGAAAAGGTTAAATTAACTATTGATTTATCTAACAATATAACTGTAATAGATTAAAATACGAAACAATAAAAACATGTTTATGACATACTTATTTTATTATTTGCTCTAAAAATTATAGGTGCCTATTTATTTAGTGGACATTTGGCAAATGACTTGTTACGATTTTATCTTTCGAGGTTCAATATACAAGGCTGATTCACTATTTGTCTTTAACTGCATTGAAGTTAGTCATTAAGTACAATGAACGAGACAATAGATGTACAGAGGCACATACTACTTTTACTACTAGAGCCCTCAAAGTATGCTAGAATAAGAAAAGAGAGATGAAAAAATTAATTGACTCTGTACACGTATAATTCCGTTCACAGACATAATAGACGTAGATGACGCAAGTGCCTGCTTCAACATATGCGAAGACTAAGTGTATTACTACTAAATTACTTGCTTTGACTTCTAACAAGTTTATTAATCATCTTCAGTCCACCTTTTAGACCGATATTGTCTTTTGATCAATAAAGTTATTTGAATAAATAAATACAAAATGGGAAAGGTTCTCAATTTATCGAAATAAAAAATAAAATCAGGTACAAATTATACGATTGGATTCTATTGTACTAAAAATGACAAACAGATTAAATTATTTAATCATCATCGTCATCATGTCAGCCGTTATCTGTTTACTGCCTCCCTCATAGCTCCACTGCCATAAGGTACGGTCCTGAACCACCTGCCTATTTAATTATAATAAAGTTAAAACGCGATAAACTAGAGAAGTTGAAAGGAGACTTATCAAAATCGATTCGGCAAAGATACATTTAACATGTAACATAAAAAAGTATCGTCAAACCGGATGCCTTCTTTTTGAAGTCGGTTAAAAACCGCAGTAAGCTCACCTCTATAGATAAGCATCATCAACATAAGCTGTGGCATTGTGGTTGATATTTTATTTTAATTACATCACGTTCGTACCTATAACGAAAACAGTTGAACTATTATTCTGTCTACCCCACTTGAACGGCAGTCATGAACATATTTTACAATTACCTACCAACTTTAATTAGTTAACAATAAGTAATACCTATCAATGAATTGTGGACGTGACAATGTCATTTCTTGTTAAACAATTCAATAAACACATAATGGTTTCCGAAACCTTTATGTTAGATAAGAGAAATAATCTCAGAAACCGATATTGTTCCTCTCATGTCGACTCAATAAGTATGAGCGAGACAGCAACACAGCGCACTGAACAAAAGGACTGGTCAGGTACCTCCCTAAAAAGAGATTGAAAATATCCATAGAGAAAATTTTCTAATACGCTGTTGGCACGTGACGACTTAACTATGTCATCTATTTTAATATAAATAATAAAAGAAAATAAAATATTATTCATTATTTAAATATAGTATTCAAAATTATCATAAATATTGTTATTAATTTTCGTAAATCCCAAATACCTACATTATAAAATAACTTTTGAGCTAGATTACAAAAATGCATACATTAAAAACTTATACTATTCAGTAATCAATACTTAACTAAAATCCAAAAAGCTGTACGCTAATTAGTCAACTAACGGAATGGCTAATTAGCGTTTATACCTAATCAAAATTGTAAACCTTGTAGAATAGGTATCTAAATTAAAGCTAGTACATCAAAACTTATTTTATTCTATTATTCTAGTTTTATCGATAAATTTATTGAAGGTCTTTAAGAAATATCTAAGAATAAATTCTCAGTTTTCATAACTGCTCAGACCTGCTTACAAAATTATTACGTTTACCCAATCTTATGTAAGAAGATACTTATATACAGTTAAATATTGAATTTTATATTTTACTGTAAACATTTTAATAGTTAAATTTATAATAATGTTAAACTTACATTGCTAGATAACATCTAGAGGAACTACCAATAAACGATTATTACTAATTAATGATTAAGTTAACATTCGAAACACTATTTAACAGCTATCCAAACGGATGTCAAACCTAACATTAACTATGGTGATGTAAGCAGAGAAAGGCGTAAGTACAAAGTTTTACTTCTTAATATTGCATTAATTGTCTCTGTTACTTATTAAAAAAAAAATTAATTACCATAAATTTACTAAAAAACAATCGTAACGAAAAAAGTTAAAAAAAAGTCTAATTATACTTTTTTAAACTTACCTTATTAAAAAGATACACTCCAAATCAACAGTGACACGAGCGGTTCATAGACAGTCATAGACGAAACAAATTAAAAACAAAACACAATAAACTGTTTAAAGATCGAACGGTTAATTTAAAAACATAATGCCAACCTCAACGAGCTGTATCACATGAAACGATCAACTTAGCACTTGTTCAAACAGCCGAACGCTACATAACTAAAGCGAAAGCGACAGACAACAGTACGTGTGCAAGTATCGGCTTCGCGCGCCAAACTGCCTTGCTTTGCTATCCCATACATAAGTTGTGGTGATTTACAGAGGGCGCAGGCGGGCAACGCGACCCTGCCGTAGGAGCTCCCCTTCCTTGCGAAGGATACCTCATTATCCTCACTGTAATCCGTGTGCCTTTTTGATAATTTTTATTTATAGGGTGACACTTGATATAACCTTTTCGAAAGTCGTTTCCAAAGTGACAAATCTCATGTCTTGTTTAAATATGCAATTATGACCATAATTGTCCAAACTACTGACTACAATATACATTTTATTTTAGTTACTAAATTTATATTAAATAGTTAAATATTTTTAATAAATACCATATTATTTCTATTAATATTACGAAGTAAATAAAATCAGAATACCTTTATTTTCCTGATAATTTAACTTATCAAAAGTATGTACTAATTATAAGTTAATAACAAGTAAGTAATGTTCGTAAATTTAATTTCTGATTTAATCGATTTGAGGCTTTAAATGATTGTGTTACGAAGTAATTCCATTTGGTTAACATGGAATCGATACAAAGAAAGTGCCATTTTAGTAGAAATACCTACCCAGCAGATTATAGGATCGAAGATTGATTCAAAATTGAAAATCATTTCCTGATTACAAGTTCAATGATAATTGTGAAATGAAATGAATATAATGTATAAAATTAATATGAAATTCCATGAATGCGTTAACAATATAAATTATGATAAAGATTAAAGACTTTGAAAACAAAGAGGTTGAAACTGGATATTGTCTGAAGTTGCCTTTGGAACATACATTAAACTAAAGCAGTTTACGTCAATCCCAATTTCTGCTGGTAATTATGATTTTACTGTGATATCAAATTTTAATATGAAACAAAAAAGCGGTGCTGTTAGACAATTTTCGTATTTAATAAATCCTTAATTAAATGAAAAAAAAAAATTAATGAGAAAAAGAATTAAAAAATAGAATACGATGAGACAGTATTCCTAAGATGCCAGTAGACATGTATTGGGGCCGATTAAGAGGTGTCAATTACTTATCTCTTAATCTAATATTTAAATTTGATAATTAAAATAAAAAATACTGTTTTATGGTCCAACATAAACTAACATTATAATAATTTTACTTTAATCCATTAGAAAATTAGTTAAAATTGGTTTTTAAAATAAAGATTTCGCTGTAATATCAAATTGAAATTTTAAATATAGGATAAAAGAAAAAAGATCTCGGAAACGACCCCTCTATCTCTTTATATATCAGATTAATTACTTAAAGAATTGCTCGATAAATAAATCTCAGAATGACACTTCAGAAACCTCAAGACTACAACGGGTAAGAAACTCATAAAATAGTTCATAAATTCTTTTAGTCAACTTAGATAAAATCTCTCTATTTTCTAGACAATTTTACAACACAGAGTAAAATTTCGGGATAACGAGCTATTAAAATAATACAGCATTGGAATAATATAGAGTTCGATAGAGAAGGAGTATTTTCATACTTAATATTATCTAATAGGTAAAATATAATATACTAGGGATGAGTAATATCTGATATTTATATATTGGCTTCTTCTGGATATTGATGATATCGCTCATACCAGTTGAATATCTGTATTCATTATTAATAGGTTCTTAATTTGAGTATCGCATATTAGATAACCTATATTTAATATAACTGTTATTGGCACAATATATGCACAGATATTGCTACTATTATATGTAGATATTGTTATATATTACCTTTATAATAGACATCAAGTAGAAGCCTATTGAATGTCAATGTTAAAATGTATGTGACTGCAAATTTCTGTTAAACTAAGTTTGTAACACTGTTTTGCAATTACATGAATATTAAGTAATCTATGGAAATTATTGTCTAATGCAAATAGCTTTACTGTAATACTAATATATTTGCACGGCTAATAACATGCTTGACTTTTAATTCCATTTACTATGTAATGTAATCGATCCAGCCAGTGTGTGCCTATTACTCAAGTTTTGAGTCGCTGGTTCGTTGAAGAGCTATTTAATAAATAATAATTCTGAAGTTTTATTTACTTGATTTACGCTCTAGATGTAAACTTAAATTGTATTTATTGTAATTTAATTATCATCATTATAAGTTTGTTTTGTGACGAAATCTTTAATGAATAATATTATATTTGAATACGTGCCAAACGTCGACAAGTTCGCAGCTGCTATATCGACCCTCAAACAACCGAATTCGATGATCCGTGAAGGTATCGACTGCATTTAGTTATATTACAAATAAATTTCCTGAGACGGATTACTGTCTCGTCTCTTTGTATTGTCATAGATACACTTGTTGAAATGTTGTTTATATTCTACGGAATTAGCTCGAGTTGCGAGGAAAATTTATTGTGATCGTATAAGGTCAACGTTTACACCGAGCGCAGAATGCGGAAGCCTCGGGTATAGCGGTGCTGTGTTGCATGAAGTGCGATGCGTACAACTACGCGTACGTCATTGGTACTCGCGAACTGCGCTAACCCGAATATACGAGGATGCCGGGTCGAGGTTCAATAATTGCGGGCCGTCAAGACTTTCACCTTCGGCGCGCGGCCGGCGGCGCCAAGGCCACCGAGGCACCGTTCACCGTAACTTCCGCCCGCTGGAGCTCGTGCCGAGCACCGCGGCTCGCGACAGCTACGGGGCCACGGTTCGTGATCGTCTCTCGCTTTTGCAATACGAATTTCGGAAAGCGGCACCGGTACCAGTGCAATGGCCTCAGTCAAAATAACGGTCCAATCGTTCCACGTTACGCAACACTTAAGGAAATGCTCGTTGTCCACTATGTACGTATGTAGGACGCTACTGATAATGAAGGAGAATAAATATGATAAAATGCATGTCAGCTGTTTCGAGCACAATATGTGCAGCGTTGACACGGATGTTCAAACAAATTCTCTTTTATATCTGTTATGCAGTTCAGTATCTGATAACATCTAAAATAGGTATTAACATTATGAGCAAAACGTGACATTACATTTAGATTCGCTTTTTACGTACTGTGGCGTAGGTTTAGAACGTGTGTAGATAAATTATTTCTGTAATCAAATTCTATGATATTTATACCGTCTTCACTTCGACTGTCATTTCATAGTTGATAACGCTGGTTTTAAACTGTTCCAGTTGATTCTTTTCATTCGCTTCCTTTACGAGTATATAGTACTGGTGGAAGTGTAATTTAGATGCCAATACCTTAATGCATCGGGGGAAAGGAATTGTTAGTAATGGGGTCTAACAGCTTCCATTGTCAGCATTACACCATATCAGGTCGACTCCTATGCAGTTCCCCCTGAAAACCATCATAGTTTATTGTTGTTGAATTCGTCACATTGGGCCAACAAGGTCAGTTTCTAGTCAGCTTTCATCCTTACCTATCATCTCTCAGTGGTGACACACCAGTGAATATAGGATCACTATTCCGTTTTCACCAATTAAAAAAATACTTCAATGTACTATTAAAAAAAATGGTTTCTATTCTAATTTTAAATTTTTGTACACCAGGATGCATGCAATAGTAAGCGGTTACTCTCTGAGACTACGCTTTAAGTTTACCCACGGGCCGAGTACGGCTGCCACCGACCCATATTTACTGTATACACGGAGTGTACCATCCCATTCCGCTCGTTAAATCGATGCTTTTAATAGAGATGATGGCTCAAGACTCCATTATATTTAAATAAACGGGAACTTAGACACGTGCAAAATGTAAAGTCACGTGGAATTATGGAATTATCAGGTTAAAGTATTAAATATCACAATATCTACTACTATTACTTATTATTAAAACCATGCTGTATTATTTAGGGATAATGAAGGATAGCGCGGGTTACGCTAATTGAAATTGAGAATACAAGCAAAATTTTGTCCAGTGAAAACATTTGGCAAATATTAATGTACTTATAATGATATATTCTCGGAAGTTTAACATGAAACTCTTATCAAAGGAAATTATGCCAAGTCTTGCATTCCTTACTAATATTATAATGATATTATAACAATGTCTTTATTAGTCATTCAATACAAGTATTACAGTTAAAATTCGTCTGAAAACCTCCACAAACAAAAGACAACGACCGATAAATTTTCGAGGTCGGGATCACAAAAGACGTACATAGTTTCGTTCGGGTTTTAATCCGTTATCGCTAAAATATATTGTTATTTATTATGACGTTAATGATAAACGTTACGTTTAAAACTCACTCTATGTAGTGGATAGCTACAAAGAATTTTTATTAGATAATGATAAAGCAAGTACGTTGATAAAACAATAAAGACAATACGATAGTACTGAGAAATAAATATGTAACATATTGAACTTGTGTTTTAAAATGTTATCAACTGTATGTAATTATTGATGATAATGATTTGTATGAAATGTTAATTGCCGAACGGGATGCTCTGCCTCTTATTGACTAAAATGGCACGGCGATGTTAATGAAGTCAGATAAGTACCTTATGTTTTGTTTGGAATTTTCCACAACACAAACAACTATGCGTTGATCTTACGATGTTTTTCAACACTGCCCGGCGCAGAGCTGCGACGTAGAGGAATCGTTCAATTATAAATAAGTACCTACTTACATGAAAGTGAATGGTTATTGTGACATAAAATTTAATAAGAGCTATCGACATTACATTGTGGTTCTGACAGATGTCTCAACGTTCGTGTATTTTATGACTAAAGTTTGAATCTTCAAACAATTATTTATTATGTAATTTTACAAATTTAAATTTTTACAAACGTTTTTTTGCAAGTGTAGTAGTAGTGATAATACCAAATCTATCCACATGATCACCACATGACACCAATTTTATAATTACAAGTAGCAAATGATTCACTATCGAATGGATTACAAATTGTGAATAGAATAATTTTAATAATAGATTTTATTAATTAGTTTCATTAACATTTGGGTTTCAAATTTCTATCTTAATGTCATTTCATTGCTGTTATTGTTATTTTTTCTTATTATTCTCTAATATTGGACAATGTCATC